TGCAAATTTACTGATTCCATGACCCTAAAATACAGTTCGGATACCCTCCCACAAAATTCAATACTCAGGGAGCGTTAATTGTTCGAGCTGGCAACAGTGGCTATTTTCGTATAAAAATAACTATTAAACGTGACTTTTTACAGTAATGTGTTATATACCAAAATTTAAGGAATCTCAAGGGCTATACAGTTTAAGGTTTTAAAGAAAATCGTTAGAGCCGTTTTTGAGAAAAATAAAAAAAAGCTAAAAAAAAAGTTTTAAAAAATTGTCTTTTGTTCATATTTTTTTAACTATTACATTTACACAAATTGCATATAGAAGGCGTTTATAGCATTTCAAAATACCTTTCAAACGAGATGCAGCACAAGTCTGTAGCTGTAGTAGTATAGAAGTTACGGCTTTCCGAATTTTAGCTATTTATAGCTGTTTTCCCGCTAAACTAGCGAGTTTTTCCAAAAGTGGTAGAACAAAAGTTTTTTATATCGATGTGATGAACGTCATATCAAATTTTCAGAACTTAAAAAACATGTTTTGGACAAGTGGACAAGTGGACAAGTGGACAAGTGGACAAACAGAATTAAATTTTCATTTTGGGAAGAAGAAGAAAATCTTATTTTGGCTATAACTTTTGAACGGAGCGTCGGATTTTGACAAATGACCCCTCATTCGACGGGTATTTTCAAAAGGAATACAAGTAAATCATTGCGAGGGGGCATTTATCCCCACCGGCCCCAACAGCTCCAAATTTCTAAATTTTTACTTTTTCACTTTCACCGCTCTCTCTCCCAATCCAATTGATTTTCTTAAAGTCTTGGTATGCAATCCTTTAAGTTTTTGCAATACCTTTCGATTGGTGTATTACTCATTACGATCTGACTATCACAGCAGATTTTCATTTCTTCGTGTATATATAGTAGTCGCCTTCGCACACTCTCCTGGTGCGCTTCGTCACTACATGGACTGCCGTCCATAGTGATCTGCCATCGAATTGGCTACAAATTTCATGCTCATATGCAAATCAACGAATTGTTTTGCTCCCGCCTGGGTTCCTTTTATTTTCCCATTTTCAATTGTGGCCTTTTTTCCTATTTCTTCTCTTCTGACTTTGTTTGCCATCTGCGCTCTAGACTCTATTTCCGTTTTCGCTTCTGGCTGTGGCTTTTCTGGGGGCGTAAATTGAAGTGTTTCCCCCAGCTAAAGTCACACACACAGCTCTTCTGGGTGGCTAGCATCTTTTGTTTGTGTTTCGGTTACGGATTTTATGGGCTTAGCGCCATGTGGGTGTGCTCAGTTCGCATTAATTTCCATTGAGCAAATCAAATGATATAATAAAATATTTATTGTTTCATTTAATGGGGGATTTTTGGAAAATATGACAGTTTTAGATGACATTTCTGGAGCTTGTATAACAGTTTTCATATTCTTTGATTTTATTTATGTTTTCAAAGTGGCTTTCTTTTGGAAAATTGTATCATCATTTGTAGTAATTTAACTACTCTTCTTATTCCTTAAAGCATTGCTTTAGCCTTTCTAAATTTTGGAAACGTATAATACTTTAGTTTAAGGCTTATTCATCTACAACTTAGTATACATCTAGTCCAGTTCATTGGCAATCGCTATTCATCTGTACTTCTAGTTCATCGCCACTTTATCCTTTATCCCCGACAAGGTCATTTCGAGCAGCTTAGCTGGGCGCTCAACGAAATCCATCTGGGTTTTAGATCGACCCAGTTATGGGCATTCATCATCATCAGCGGCGGGCAATCCATTCCATTCATTCATTGACTCAATGGGAAGTGGGTAAAATTATGCTGTAGTTGTTGGTTCCTTTTTCCCTCTGCTCATCAGGCGCCAACTTGTGTGTTTACACAAGTCTCGAAGCAGGCAATCCACAAACGTGGCCAACACTCTTGCACAATGTGGTTCCGAAATAACCGGAATATACGGACATAAGTGCTTTCGGTTCCGTTAGTTAGGAGCCCTTCAGCAGTGAGACAATGATGAGGACTTTCGTCCACGGCGAGTGTAGCCTACTTACAGGCTACAGGCCTCCACGGCAGTTTAACCAAATGAAATTTGTGTTAAGCGCAATGTGCTATAACCTTGGCTTAAACACAATCCTTTACAGCTGGGGTGGAAATTATAGAGCTAAATATCGATGGCCACTAAAAACGAAAATCTTACTAGAATTTTTAATAGAGATGTCCGACAGATATAAATTTCTAGGATTCAAACCTCTAATGTATATCAGGAATTTTTAAAAACCAGGGAACGTAACTGTTATAAGTTTTATTTTAAAAATCACACTTTAATAGTTATTTTCTGATTTGTAAAGTAAAACTCAAAGAATAACTGTTATTTTTTGAGTTTTATAATAAAAGTTGACAAATAACAGTTATTCGTCGTGATCAAAAATAAAACTCAAACTTGATTTATGGCGATTTTGTGGGTAAACAAAATTAAAAAAAAATATAGGTATAAAATATGCGCGGTTGCCTTTTTTAACAAATTTTTAGTAAGTTATAAAAAGCACGGGTATCATGTTTTTTTTAATTATTTCATTTTTTCAAAAATGTCAAAGGAATAACTGTTATTCATAAAAATCAAAAAATAACAGTTATTTTTTGAGTTTTATTATAAAAATCAAAAAATAAAAATCATTACGGATTTGTAAACTACAATGGCTAATAAAAATTGTGGCGTATTTAAAAAATTTTTAGGACCCTTCTAAGTGCGTGATTTTTTTGTATGAAAAATTTACAATAACAGTTATTTTCGTTCCCTGTTAAAAACTTTAAAGTTGCTTTTTGTAAAATCTTTTCTTTGGTGAAATGAAACCATGGGATTTATGTGTCCAAATTTATTGTTGCATACTTTTAGACACCTAAGTTATATGTTTATTCAACGCACGATAATTAAGTCTTTTAGTTTTATTATTGTGACAGCAACTGTTCATGGGGCAGACAAAGCCCACCCACACTTGAGTAAACATTGCGCTGAAGGCAACACGGAATTTTAATTATGTCTAGAACAGACACAAAAGGTTAGCGCCTGAACAAAATCCTCACACGTGTAGAACAGCTTGCAAATTGCTTGGCTCCATTTTGGTGACTTAATTTGCAGGCCCCGCCGACAAATTCTATCAATAAAACTTTCATCATGCCTAAGTGACATTTTCGGGGCTCACCTATTTAGCGAAATTGCTGCGGCTATTCGAACAAATTGCCAGTGAAAGTGAGCCTGAATATGCAGTTGAAAAATGGGAAGTGGGCTTGCTTGGGTATTACCACCCGGTAGTTGGGAAATTGTTTACATTGCAGGCTCAGGCACACCGCCAAATATGTACGACTCTATGCATATATGTGAGTTTGTAATGCACGTATACAATTTTATCGATTTTTTACGACATATTTTACACATTGAAGCGTGCAAAATGTTATGCCCAGTGGGTGGAAGGAGGTGCCGGTGTGTTTCTACTTTTTTTTTTTGCCAAGTTAAAAGGTAAAGCCAATTTTGCACTAGTGTTGGGATGTTAGTTTTTCTGTTATGACTACAAATTGGTATGTTTGCAATGAAAATGTTAGCATTGAAGAAAATTGCACTTGTTATACAAACTCAAAAAACATGCTTTATAAAAATTAAAGTTGAATTCCTAATACAGGTAGAATTCAATTTTCAAAATGGAACTTTTAAATTAACTAACTAAATTTATTCTGAGCTAAAACGAAAATCATTATCCACATAATGTTATAACCCAGAATAACACGTTCCGTATTTGAGTATGTTATTTAAGTTCTTTATAATGTAAAAAATTAAAATTATTAACTATAAATGCAGATTAAATATCAAGTAAATAGTCTTTGATTAAAACACCCCTTACCATGCCTTAACTGGAATTCTTCTCCAATTCCGTTCACGGAATCGAAATGTCAATGTGTTTTGCATGTCATTTAAAGGCGATTTATGTGGTGATTCGGTTGATGCCATGGAATGGAATGGCATTGACTTGGCACAACTTGTAATTCAATTTCCATGCCATGCCCGAGCGCCTTGCCAAAAGAGGGGGGCTTAAATAACCCCCGTTGCCCCATTTCCCCCTTTTAACTATCTTGAAAATCGGAAACAACCCGGAAATGTATGCTATCTGCTGTAATTGTGATTGCGAACGACATCTGCGGCTTTCAGTACAACAGTTGGGCCCACAAATCGAGACCAGCGAAATACCAACAAACTGTCGCATTTTTTTAATAACACTTGGTGATGACTTTCTGTCGGACATAAGGACTTTCATCCAAACAAATCCCCAGCAAATCGACGGACTTTCCCTTCGGTTTGGTCGGCTTTTGTTTGGGGCCTTGCCAAATGCTCAACACGTTTCACTCATTGTTGGTTGTTTGTGCTCGGGGACCCTTTTTTCACCCACTTGGCATCTGTCAGATTTGTGACAGTGCCGCTTGACACAGTCCTGGGATTTCTGCATCCCCTGCTCCGTGTTGAAAGTATCGTACATTAAACCCAGCTGCAGACCTCATAATCGATTCGGTTCGAGAGTGAATTATGCTGTTGGGAGCACATCAATCACTTGTTGGGGCCCCTAGTTGGGCGCCATATAAGCACCTGTCAATTAGCTGTACTTAACGCTACATTGTGCAGTTGTCCACTCAGGAGTGATAAATAATAATTCCCTTTAATGCATTGAAGCCTAGGGTCTGGCCATTAAGAATGATAAATCGCAGAGGTGAAGAGATATCTACTTATTCTCTTAGGATCATTAATATTGAAAATATGCCAAGTTTCAAATACAAAATAATTTATTACAATTTAAATGTTATAGACAGTAGATAAAATCTTTCTGTGTATGCTAATTATAGCCTAACCCCTAAATGAAATCCCGCCAAGGACACAACCACATCTCGATAGTGGAAAGTCAATTAAAATGTCATTTTGTGTTGACCCCTCTGACCGACTGACCTTTAACAATTTTTGCTCTGATTTTCCAGGTTCTCCAGCCGCTACGAGCTTCCACTGCTGGTTCAGAGTGTCGTGATGAACGTGACCATGTTCCTGATGATCCATCTGTGCGTGAAGGTGAAGCGGGTTAATGCCAATAACCGCGAGCACGCCCTGCGAGGTGAGTCCCATCAGCAGTTTGAAAACTGTCACCCTGAGGATAAACATGTCAACTATCTATCTCACCCTTCTTCCTTTTTCCAGGCGACGAACTGCATTTGCCCAAAGTGATGACGGACACGGATACGGGAGCCTCTGTTTCCACTGAAGCGGGCGGAAGCGTCCTGAAGCGGGTTCGCTCCCGGCATTATCTCAATGGTGAGTCAACTGATTTTAGGGGGTAAAAAGAGATATTTTAGGATGTACTATAACTCACGGTAACCTTAAAGATTAAATTCCATTTTTAGAATATGAAATGTACCTAAAGGTTAAAAATAGGAACTAAATCTTAGTGTCTATACCATCCTTAGTTTCCCTAGTTTTCCTCTTCAAAAGACAATGAAACCAAATGCTCTAAGCGTTCGACGTACAAACAACTTTTCACTCAATTGACGGCAATTTCCTGTGTCACTCCCAAGAAAATAGATTGAAATAAAATAAAATGTGGTGTTGAGAAGTTAGGGGATTGCAATTTCATTACCATTAGCGAAGTACAGAAGGCTCCACCTTCTGTTCTTTTTATCATAGCATATATCTTTATGAAGCGAAGCGCTCGTTTGCTGTCCGCATTTATTTCTTCTCCTTCATTACTTCTTATCAGCAAGTAGAAAGGCATGAAACTAGGTTAGGCGGTAGGGTTCTCTGGGCGGTAAATTGATCAACGAACCACGGCGAGCAGAACCAATATACACCCACACCGACACGAGCTAATTATATTGGCACGCCTTGGGCTTCTTTGTACATTGCTTGTCGTAAATTGTGCAGCGCCTAAAAGCAGCCGAGATAATGAAAATTGATTTCCAACTGGCTGCCATCTTCAGGCGGCTGATATGGACTTGCACGATTTATAGAGTGGTAAATTCTGGGGTCATGACCTAAGGCTTCCTTACTGTAGATGAACAAACGTTTATTTAACGATTGATTATAAAGGGGTAAGAGCGATTTTATTTGAATAGCTAGTAACGAATAAATAATAATTATTTTATTAATATTTAAAAAAAAAGATATTTTAAGTCTTTATATATTTATAAAAATTGTATTGAGAAATTAATATGTTCATGGGCAAAGTAGATTTTAAAACAGAGTCAAAATTTTGTACTTATAATTTACTATTTTTAATAAAAGATTGATTTTTTTAAAAACCAATTTTAATCTAAACTTAAGTCTTGAATTATTTTAACATTTTTTTTTATAATATAAATAAATTTCTTTCATTAAATTTCTCTTAAAGATCTGGATTTTAAATACTTTTGGAGCTGGACAGACTTCCAATCGTATCTGGACTTTATGCTCGTCGTGTGGGCCGTGGGCGCCGCTATAACATATCTGATGCTTTCCGTGCATTGGTTCATGGAATCCATGGGCTTTGTGGCCGTCTTCACCGAGGCCATGTTGGGTGAGTCTCGATGAAAGCTGATGTAATTCTAGCAATCTCCTAACACATTTCGTTAATTAACTTAGGGGCGCCACAATTTCTACGCAACTTTAAGAATAAATCAACATATGGAATGAGCATACACATGGTGATCATGTGGACGCTCGGTGATATGTTCAAGACTGGTTACTTTATTGTTAGGAAAGCCCCATCGCAATTCTGGATCTGCGGCACGCTGCAGGCAAGTATTACCATCTATATATTTCCTACATAGTTCTTATATAATTATATTCCGATTACAGGTCAGCTTGGACATAGCGATCCTGTCACAGGTGTGGTTCTACCGCAAGAATTCCAAGCCGCGCGATTTGCGCCGCGGCGATTAGCAGTTTGCCCCCGAAGAACAGCCACAGCACACCCATCACCACGATCTACACACATCCCATTCCGAGGAGCATCAGCTATCGCTGCCCGTCACAGTGAGCAGCAGCGGAGACGATCATCTGCTGACGGCTCGTGCCGACGACGAGCACTTCAAGGTGCTGGACTTTGGTCAGTGCCACGATAATCGTGCGTTTCAGTATCACAATAATAACAAGATGTTGCCCAGACCAGGAGGCAGTGGCAAGAGTAAGGATGATAGCAGCATGGCAGCTGCCTTGGAGGTCGTCATTGTCCATTCCCCGGCTTCCAAGGAGCAAAGACTGATTGGCGGTCAGGAGGCGAGCGGTTGCTGCCGCAGGAAGCGAAATAATGCGACCCAAACCAGATTGGAGGGCGGCGGCAGTTGCTGTTGCGTGATCACCACCCACCATCACCACTGCCACTGCAATCACCACAGGCACCACCATCACCATCATCATCATTGTCACTACAGGAGCACAAAGAGACGAGCTCTGCTGCACCAGAAGAGGAGTCATCACCACCATCACAATCATAACCAGCATCTGCAAGTCAAGCAGCAGTCGAATCACAAACAAATGCTTCCATCTAACAACAACAACAAGTCTTCCTTGGACTCCAGCGAAGAGGCGATGCATCATCAGGCCATAGCCATTGAAATCGATGCGGCCACAATGAGCGAGGATGGAGATGAAAACAACAGCAGCACGGCCACGTCGAATTTCCCCTATAAGGTTGCCAGCGAAGGTGTAAAACCCATTATAATGGCTCCGCTTCGAGAGCAACATCGTCATCGGAGGGGTTCCTTGAATTCCAATACCACCATCGAAACCGATGAACTTTCGCACGATGAAGATGATGACGATGTGCGGATGGGCTCGCACCGTCTACCAGAAGATGAGACCCAACTAACGCAGCCAGCCATAACGAATAGTTCCAGTAGCTCCACAAAAAGGGGCAATCCTGCCTCCGCTCCAGCGCGAAATGAGTGTGTGCGGATCAAGAGAAAGAGGTTTATAGCAGAAGCTGGACAGGATTACTGCAGCAGTTGCTCGAGTTCCTGTTCCTGCAGCAGTTTGGATGAAGATCTGGAGGCCCATCACGAAATGACCGTTTCGGCGGAGTGTCATCAGTGTTTGCCGGGCTCCCGGAGAGCAAGTTTCTGCTCTTGTCATAATTCCACCTGCTGTTGTGGCTCCTGTTCCCAGGAAGAAGACGAGGAGGAGGAGGAAGCCGATGATGAGGACGACGAAACTACGGGCCAAAGGGAAAGCTTTTGTACAGCCGCCGATCATACCATTACCCCTTCGCAAGAGGGTGAGGATATGCATAGTAGTACCCTAACACCGCTCAGCACCCAGAGGTCTTCCTTCATGGAGCAGGATCATGGAGATCACACCATTAGAAGTGATAATGGCGGAGGCAACCTGACCGATGCAGATGCCTCTTCACTCAGCCAGTCGGCGGAGTACTTTTCGCTGTCATCCACGGCCGGAGGAGGAGCCTCTTTTCCTATCAAAGAAGAGGATAAAAAGGAGAAGCTGGAGAAGAAAGAGGTGAAGGATTTCAAGGAAAATGAAGTGGAGCCACCGTCCTGCAAACACTGGAATCGCAATCCACATGGCAAACACAAACGCGCCTCGTCGCCAGTGGACAACTCCTTATGACGAAGTGTCTCGCTGGTCGCCTGGCCAGCAATCGATGTGAATGCACTGCTGCAGCAGACCATTAGGAAATCGGCTGTGCTGCAGGAGACGCCAGTGCGCAGGAAATCCACTGCCAAAAAGGTTCCAAGTAATGATTCCTCCACGGCCACATTAACGGCCAGCGTTGTGACAGTGGCCAAATATCCGGGACCTGGCTTGGTCACCACTGTCACCAGTTTGAATGGCTGCGGAACCACCTATAGCTTCACCACCACCACGGCTGGACCTTTAAATCCTGCAGCTACCAGCAAGAGAAACTCCAAGTACTCGCCTGTACCAAATTCCGAGCCCTACCAATGCGATCCACTGCAGCAGAGCTCGACGGAAATCATCTTATAACTCATACAAACATACCTCTGCACCTTCAACTTTTATACAGTGCGAAGCCGTATAAGAGTCAAGGTTAAAGTTCATTAGTAGGAAGGGATTATACAATAACATAACACCAAAATTCGTGGAGATCGATGGGATGGAAGGTATATCGAAAAACCAAAATTCATAAAGCTGTTCAATTTGTTGTTATTCGGGGGTAACAAAAACCAAGATGAGGATGTAGAAAATGCAGACCTAGTTTATACATATTAGAACATAAAACCAATGTACATTATTTTTTATGTGAGATGCATCAAAAGATTAGCTTAAAATGTGAACTAGTTTCTAATATTTAGTTTCGGACTATGTGAATTTAAAGAAAAGGGTTTCAGCTGGGGAAGGGACCAAGCCAGAGTTGACAAAGCCTTCAAGTTTTCCAAAATCCACGCAAACACATATCCACTTTGTGCAAATTTCTAGCTTAGAAAACTTCCCTCAGCTCGGGCCTCGAACCTTGTTTAGATTTAACTTTATAAATCGTCATTGTTTTTCGTACATTAGTTAAATTCATTTTGTAGTCCTGTAAGTTCGATTTGTATAGAAAAAGAAACAACAACAAAATCAAACTTTAATCTCGATATTATTCTTTAAAGAATTTTTATACCCGTTACTCGTAGAGTAAAAGGGTATACTAGATTCGTGCAAAAGTATGTAACAGCTAGAAGGAAGCGTTTCCGACCCCATAAAGTATATATATTCTTGATCAGGGTCACTAGCCGAGTCGATCTAGCCATGTCCGTCTGTCCGTCTGTCCGTCTGTCCGTCTGTCCGTCTGTCCGTCTGTCCGTCTGTATGAACGCTGAGATCTCAGAAACTACAAAAGCTAGAAGGTTGAGATTTCCCACACATATTCTTTGGCTTCCTACGCAGCGCAAGTTTATTTTAGCCGAGCGCCACGCCCCCTCTAACGCCCACAATCGCCCACTAACGATTTTAAAATGGGTCCTGCGCCCACATCTTTAAAGATTTCCGAGAAGTATAAATGCAATTTTGTTGTGTATATTTATACCTATCGAAATGTAGAAGACATTTTTCAAATCGGACCATTCATTAAAAAGTTATACGCTTTATAAATTGTCAACATATATCTATCTCCCTCGCACTCCCTTTAGCTGAGTTACGATTATTAGTCGGGACACCAACCCGACACAGCGTTCGCACTCCCTTTAGCTGAGTGACGGGTATTAGATAGTCGGGACACAAACCCGACTATAGCGTTCTCTCTTGTTTAATTTTATAATTTCCTAGCAGAATTTATTAGCTAAGATCTATAAAAACTGAAACGAAAATAAACGAAACCCAAGCAAAATTATTATTTCCATTTGTTTTGATTTTCATACTTTCCATTTTATTTCTTTCATATAGCACAATTCCTGATCGTTAGCTATATTATTCTAGATATAACGTATAAAAACTACTAATCAGTCAAACATCTTCCTTGCAATTTTGAGATTCCGTTGAAAACGTACACACAATTTAAATATGAAAATTAAATTATTTATAAGCCACGTAAATATGTATTCAAAGTGCTTGAGAATATTTAAGAAATATTTAAAAATTACAAATAACCGATGGAGGAGATGATAACATTTGTTGATTAGTATGTAGCAGCTATTTTTGATTGTTTTCCTATGGTATGTGGGTTATGTAGTATCCTAACGATAACCAATCTGTTGCAGATGCGCAGTATTATATTCTTTGTGAAACCATTATCCAACTGTAACGAATTACTTACTAAAAATGAAATGGAAGCAAATACTCATAATCAATTACAACTGTTATAAGAACGGCATTTGGATTGTAGAATCTTTTTTCATAACTGAAATGGTTAATATACTCATATTTACTGGTATTTATATAGACATATTCTTAAGTCAAGAAAAGCCATGAAAAGCAATAAAATGCAAACGTCAAGTGGAAGTTTAATATTACTAATCCAACTTGTTTGCTACTGAATTTACTTTATTGGTGTTCTAGACATTTCTCAAACAAAATAAACGTAAAATATGCAATACAAATGAAGATGCATTATTTTTAGGGACCTTTTAATGGGTTTATATTTGTTAAAAAACGACATCTTTTTAAAATAGTTGAAATGGTCAAGGGTTTCTAGGTAGCAGGGTTTTTAACGTGATAACAACTAAAACGCCCTTTTGGCGACGCTTAAGGATATTCCAACAATATATTTCTTCCCATTATCAGGCAATTAAAGACGGCGATCTTTCGTTTTTTAAAACATACTTTTATTTCAGCTTAGTTAGCAGTTATCGGAAGACGATCAAGATTACAGCGAAAAATCTGGGATTGGAAATTTACATTTATCTTCCATGGGATTGCAAATGCTTCCTTCCACAGTTCCGGAGAGGTTGACAGCAATTATTACGAAGAGCAGAACTAATGCAAGTTTCAGCATTTTGTTTGAATGATTTGTGATTTCCAAACAGTCAATGGTGGCACGATAGTGTTGAGCCTCGAACTGAGTTATTCGGTCGCAGTTTTTCAGTTTTTATTTGGAAATTTCTACAACAACATTTTTATTTTGGGTGTCAGAGTCTGCTGATATTTTTTTATGAATTTAATTCATTGCTGATAAGCCAGTTTTTCGAATATATTTAAAAGGAATTTTGATAACGCTGGCTTCCCTGACCTCTTCCAATATATAAAATGTATGTTCGTACTTCCAAACGACATCTCATTTTTATACTTTTACCAAGGTCATTTGCAAGTACTAATTTAAATTTCAATTTAAAAATTGGCGCCCTATGGTTAGGTGGTAATGGTAACCCTAATCTCATTTGAAAAGTTGTAGATGGCGTGTTTGCCATTTTAGTGATGTGGAAACCATTACCGTCTAGAGGTGAGAACCATCGATGCGATGTTGTAATACATTTTTGAAACATCGATGTTGGTTTTTTATCATCGATGTCTTTCCCTTTAAAAATTATTTGTACAATTTTTAATACAATGTTTAACTTTTACTGTTTTGTTGGTCAGTTGTCTGACGTCGTAGAGAATATGGACGGAGATCGAAATAGTAAGCTATTTTACCAAATTATGTCCATTGTTAATTAAAGTAAATCAAAATTTTAAGTACATATGTGTGCCTGCACGTGCACGCATTAATTATGGCCATGTATAGACATTTGTATTTTTATTTAAAATCGGCGTTTTAAAATGTAAGTTTTTGAGAAATATACATATATAAAATATTATATTGGGGAGTGACAAAAAAAAGTTCATCCTTGCGAAAGAAAATTGTTTTAAGTGTAAAAAAAAATTTGGAAACATCGATGAAACATCGATGTTCGTGGACATCGAAACTTGTAAACATCGATGTTTTTACACCTCTTATCGCTACTTTACACCAACTGCGCTCATCTCAATCCGCTCTCGCGGGCGAAAAAAAAGTGCAGCAAAAAGTTGGTGCTCCGGTGCTCCGTGTCCAGGAAATAATAAAACTACTGCTTTCGCTTAGCGCGCAATAAAAATATAATCGGTGGGAACAATTAAGTTTGATTTCGATTGATTTTCCCGTCGTCATTATTTGTTTGTCTGTGCGGGCTGCGAAGAAGAGAGTGGGAAGAAAACAACAAAAACAGCGAATTGCATTTTGCGCTTGGTAAGTGTGTGTGTGTGCGTGTGCCTCTTTTGTTATCTCTCCCGTCTCCTCTGCTTCTTCACTTATCCCTTTTTGTTTTTGGCGTCTCACAACAATTTGCCAATTAAAAGCTTTTGACCTCTCACTCTTACAAATAGAACTTATTGTGTTACAAGAGCAACCCCTCTCTTTCACTCCGTCTCCCTATCCCGTTCGATTTTCAATTGAAGCATGACACTAACAAACAAGCCTGTCAAATAAACGGTTGTTGGGCCACATGTTTGTGCTTGTCCTATTCATTGCACTTTATCCTTTGACATTGCTGTGGATTCATATCTTGTTGTTGAAGTGCGAGAGAGACGGATGCTGCCTCTGCCTCGCTCTGCCAATGCCAGCTTTTCATTGAACTTGATACTGAACAGTTTTAAGTGCTCTTTTGGTGTTTTTTTTTTGCAGTGCAAGAGGTTTTCAAGGATGCAGTCACGGTCAAGTTTCTGTTAAAAGAGCCTTTAAGTTAAGCTTAAAAAATGCAAAGCAACGCGTGTAGTATTATCTGAAAAGTCTATTGATAAACTACTGGTAACAATTCCACATCACTTTTATTTTTTAAGTTTTTGGATTAAAAACGGAATTTACATTTTTTACTGAGTAAATTTTCTATAATGTTTATAAATAATGTAGCAATAAGAAAGCTTTTTAACCAAACATTCATCGAAAATATGTATGGTCATTAAAGATAATCTCAATGTTTACTTTGTATAGTGATTGACTGGGCTTATAAAGCCATCAACTTTCATCTTAACACAGCATTCCCTTAAATCTTTAAAAAGCCGCAAAAGGGAATCAAATAAGCAATGAAAAATCCCTGCCAAAAATATGGCCAAAACAGAAGGAAAAAAAGTACAAAGAAAAGTTTTTGGAGTTTGTTGGTTATTCAATTTCAGTTTGTAGTTGTTGTTCCTCTTGCGTATTTGCCTTTATTGCCTGTGACAACTAAGAAGAAGAAGATGAAAAGAAATGCCCAAAAAAAAGCTGAGTAAAGAGAGATTGTGAAAATAAATCTAAGCAAATGAATGGAAGCTCAACAACGGAAAATGCTCAAATTGTATTTACTGCTGACATTTTCACGCCCACCAATATACAAACATTTTTACACACATGGAGAAAGAGAAAATTGTATGTGTCTGTATATTTGGAGCTAAGAAGTCGGAAAGGCTTCTCCACGTTATTTGGTATTCATGAATGAAATCAGAGCTCCATTTTCACACAAGAGGAAGGGAGAAAGGATACGATAGATAATATTCCCTGCCGCGCCGCCTCCTCATGGTTCTCTCCATTCTTATCGCTTTTCTCCTTTCCCTTATCCCCACTTTCTTCCTAAAGTAAAGTAAGACAGGCGCCATCGCCATGGCGCTTTGCATCCTCTTCCTTCTACAGTGGAAACTACGAGTTGAAAGACACACTCCAGAAATTTAAACTCTTCAAGCTAGTTTTCCCTAAAAATAACATTGTCAAGCAATTGTTTGCAAAATGAAAAAATTACATAGAAAATATTTTTTAAATGAAAAATGTAAAAGCAAATACCAAATTTTTATTATTTTTCTTTTCAAATATTGTTTATTAAATTATTATCTTTCCGGTTGCATCAAAACAATTCTAAATTTTAATAATAAAATTAAA